GGCCTCTGGTAGAGGACCCGAGCTCAGAGGATGAAAGTGACCACCCACAGAGGGTGAGAGGGGAATTTTTTTTATATATATATATTATGTTTTTTCATTTCTGTAACCAAACAACAAACCTGCTTTGAAGTAGCTGGATCTCTTTTCTGATTTAGGATTCAAACCAACCTCTATCACAGAACCAGCAGACCATTTGTTATAGTGGCAGATCGTCAAAGTGTATAATCAGTGAAATAAATTAAGAAAATTAACTAATAATAAGGAAATCAATAACTGGTCGGTTCATTTCTATTCATTCCCTGTTTGTAAATTCTACCTGCTCTGACTCTCAGATGCTCATGGGATTATGATGTCTAGTTGACATCATAATCCCATAACATAGAAAGATGTTTGATCGTGACACTTTTTTCAACTTTGAATGAAATATGCACAATACCAAACAGAATGCTATTTCAGTTACATTATGAGGTAAAACAGGAAGAACGAACAATAATTATAACGTATGACTGAAGTACCATGACAGTAGCTGTTCCTGCAACCGTTTCTGTTTACAGCAACACAGCGTGACTTTCACTGTAACTTTTGTTGATGTCAGAGTGTCGACAAGCTTTCCAGAACGTCAGCTTTCTGAAAATCCACAAATGACTAAACGACGTTCCACAGGTCAGTTGGTAAAGTTAATTACACCACTTCAATGGCTGATTGGTTAACATAATTACAACATTTCAAAGTCCATTTCCTACCTTCCTCACAGCTGCCGTGCTTCACCACATCAATTTTCCTCTTTTGCTCGCAGGCGGACCTGTTGAGCTCACACTCGTTGCTGTAGGTGATGCCGTCGCTGCCACACACCGGGGCGCTGGCCTCTCCACTGCACTGCGGGCACTCGCACTTTTTCTCCACACACCAGGCACCAAAGCTACAGACGGTGTTGCCGCACTTTTCTGTATCACACACACACTTACACATTAAAATGTATATTTCGAACTAACATTGAAATAAGATTTTATTCCCTCTCCCTGTGTTCCTGAATTTCATTTTCTGCTTTTAATCCAGCAGGAAAAGAAGAACTTCATGAAATACAAAGATAAAATGTTTCACTTGCCAGAAGTGAAGCTGGCTGTCGCTCTTTGAGGATTCCAGAACAGGAAGCGTGACAAACCGTAATGATTACAACATGCTGCCACTTACTGCACTCTCCCTGGCTGACCACCCGCAGCTCCACCTGCTCCGTGCAGGACCGCACGTTCAGCTCACACTCGCTCTGGTAGGTGTGGCCGTCGCTGCCACACACGGGCTGGTGCGACTCCACGCACTCCGACGGGCACACGCAGCGCCCACTCTGGGCGTCACAGATCGCCCCGAAGGAGCAGTTGGAGCAGGCTTCATCTGGAGGGAAAATAAAAAAAGAAGGAGACTAAAACTTAGTATGCTTGAGTTTATGTGTGTGTGCAGCCACAGTGAAATGAGCAAATAACTTCCTTTCTAACTTATGTTATCAATATTCAAATTATAAAGCCTTACTTAGATTTTAATGATCCTTGAAAAATTCTTCAAGTGGATACCTTTTTTTTTTTTTGCCACACTACGTTTTCTTTCATTAGCTTGTAAATATTCATCTGTACATATTTTAAAAAACTCTCAATCAGTAACATTATTAATATGTCATTAAGGACTTTAAAAGCCTGGTGGCTTTCAGTTCTCTGGCCATTACTGAAATAAGCTGAGACTTTACATGAGGAGAATCAACAACATCCTGCAGAAGTGGAAACTACACAGAATCTGCACCAGACAATAAATCAGCCTCTTCCATGTTTAGAACACGTGTGAAAAAGCTTATTGAAAATCATCATGTTATATTTTACTCTTAGAAGCTAACTCTGTTTTCTAAAGTACTGCCTTGTTGCTTAGATGGTATTGACTGATATAATGACTCGCCAGGATCTACATGTTAGCAGTCATGTCCCACTGTGACCCAAGGAAATTCTGGCCACAATGACCGGTGTAACATTCTGGCCACTTTAAAGACACACAAAACCTACAGACCAGAAATATGATTTTCTTCCAAAAGCAGATTATAAAAAACATCTACTGGTTCTTATTTGGCATGCCCGAAGTAGAGCTGCACATAAAAACGATTAACTGTAACAAACAATGATGAATGGGAACTAAATTTCATTTTGCCAGAACACAGATGTGGATAAATCAGGTAGAATAAAAACATTCTCACTGTTCCCATCAGGCGACTGGAAAATCTTGCAGAGGAGGCTGTAAAGACTTCACCTTATTTATGAAATGATTTTTATATTTAACAGGCTCTGATAAGCTTTTTGTTTTGCTTATGTGCAGCAGCACTGATAAATTGGTGCAGAAACACAAATTTAGTACAGGACTAGAATTCACCTGAGATCTACTGAATTGATGAGATATAATGAAACAGGCACACCTGTTAAATACAAAGTGGCACCTTTCATGTTAATTTGATATGAAAAAAAAAATTATGACATAAAATCTGAAAGAAAAAAAAAACAGCAAAAAAGAAAAGAAGGATTAAAAGAAGGATGGATAAATGGCTCATGTTACTAAAAAAATATCAAACCACCAAATCCTTTTCCAGGAACCAAATTAAAGACCTGAACAGAAATAAATGTTGGAAAATAAAAAGGAGTCTTGTGGAAGAATACATCTCTCTTTGATACTCCATCATACAGCATTTATGGGACGATGGTCAGAATCTGAAGCCATTCCGTGAAAACAGCCACACGAGAGCCAAGTAACACTTACAGCGCTCTGAAAGCATGAAGGAGACAGATTCTCTGGGCTGATGAGACGAGGATTGAATGCTTTGGTCTGAATGCCAATAGCTGAGTGTGGTGAGTGCCAACTACAGCTCATCACCTAGCGACTGTGACCCTGTGGGCAAACCTGCAGCCAGCAATGCTTTTTCTGTACAGGCTTCAAAGCAGCAGGTAACGGGAAGCAGAGCCCAGAGAGAAAAATAACACTTTTCAAACTCTATTCACAACTTTTGTCAAGTTGAAATGATTTCCAAACAATATGCTGTTTATTTTCCTCCAAGCTCTGTTCTAATCACAGTGGATGATAGCTAGTTCTTCCTTCAAAATGCATTAAGTGTCTCCTGAACCCTCTATCTGGACTTTCATGTGTTTGGAAATGAAATTTGTAATGAGACTTCAGGACAGAAGCAGTCCAGTCCCACTGGGAGAGAAAAGAACCAGAAGAACCAGAACGAGTTCCTGTAGACAGAAGAGCAGACACCTTTCTCTCTGTTACCAATTACAGTGCTTGCATTGCATAGCTCCCTCTCACAGTCAATTAGAGGCCAGCCTGATAAGTACTGATGATTTAGCACTAATTAAGAGAAACGAAGCTGCTCAAACGAACCTTCTGTGTTATTAATCTGTTTATAACTCCTCAAGAGTCTTTCACTTCCTTCATCTCTTCATCTCATGTTGATATCAGAGCCTGGACCTTCGACTAGGTAAGACTAAATGTGACCCAAACACACAAGACAATCCAGTGTTTCAACCAAAGTCTACAAAAAAGAACCTGAAACAGTGGTTCTTAACCTGGGTTCGATCGAACCCTAAGGGTGAGTCGGTCTCAGGGGTTCGGCGGAGCCTCTGCCGCGGAGGTAAAGACACACTTGTGTAAAGTCGTGATGACGCCCCGCTTTGCCATCACTTGCTGCAGAGGATCACGTTACATTGCTGAGCCAATCAGAGCTGCGGAGGAGCAGTGATTGAAGGAGTTCCACTCTCAGCATGGATTTGAACTTGTGTCTTTAATTACTTCAGCAAAGCTCACAGTTTTTACCAAATTCTGTAGCTTTCGGTGTACTTCTAAATCTGCTCCTTAGTCGCATCTTTTCGGGGTTGGTACTGCCTCTAGTGGCGTGGAGTGGTAACACAACTAATATAATTACGTGACTAAATCAGAATACCGCAAAGTCTTTATTATTTATTATTAAATTTTCATTCTCTTAAGAATGTAGAGCTAATTAAATGATCTAAACAAAACCTTAAAGTGGTTCCAGTTTCTCTTGATGGCCAACCTGTTGAAACTGTGGCAAATTTTAAATACCTTGGGTCGTTCCTGGACAGTCAGCTCAACTTTGCTGAAAACACTGACTATATTTTGAAGAACTGTTCTCAGAGACTCTACCTTTTAAATAGACTAGTGATCATGGGGTGACCCAACTAGACCCTAGTTGGGTCACCCCAATCATATTTTATTTATCACTACAGAAGGGTTCAGTGAATGCGTATATGAAACTGGTGGGTTCGGTACCTCAAAAAAGGTTAAGAACCACTTACCTAAAATATGAAACACCACCTGTGGCCCCTCCCATAGGTGGTGGCCCATGGAAAAAAGCCCGGCCAACAGGCGCTCGCCATCGTGCCCCACCTCCAGGCCTGGCTCCAGGGTAGGGCTCCAGTGAACTTGTCACTAAACTTTGCATAATAACTGGTAATATGTGGTTGTGTTAACTAAACATGCTTATTTAGTTTTTTGTGTGTTTTTCTATGATGATTAGTGGATTAACAGCTACACCCACAATGTTTCACCTTTCCTGAAATATTGTTCAGTAATCTGACAAAATGTGCAAAAAACATTCATGGAAAGGAGAAAAAAAACATTATTTAAAAGAGATAATATTTGGGATTATAGTTCATGTCTTTTTGTCTTAATAGAACCATTGGCTTTGAGGAATTTAGTCTAAATAACAAAAGTCTTCGTGTTGGCGTTTTTTTGTCTCAAGTATAAATAAACCTAAATCATAAGCATCTGTAAAACAGGCCATCCCTGAGCTATAAATCAGTAACTGTTGTTAAGTGTTGTCCTTTATCAGGCTCTGTGTCCTGATAGCAGGCTCGCTCTTTTCTTTCTTTTTTATCAGCTCCTGCCTCTCGTGCCGGGCTCTCCACATTGCCTGATCCTCCAGACAAAATCTGTCTGACAGGAACAAAGGTGAGCCGCAGTTCAAAGCCAGGAGAACAGGGGGAATTGTTGCCATTACAGATAGTGTTGAGAAGTCCAATTTTGTTTCCTGATTTTCTCTTCCTGAAGTCTTTCTCATCACTTTTTAGGTCCAGACAGACAGAAATGTTCTGCCTCTTTCTGAAGGCGACTGTGTTTAAAACTGGAATAAGGTCAGAGCATGGGCGTAGGTTTGGGTAGGGACGGTAGGGACATGTCCC